CAGTTGAAGAAATTACCTTTGCGCATTCAGAGAGTTTTGCCTCTGTGAGAGGAGATATTTCAGCCTGTATCTGTTATTAGAGATAGAATAAATCTGGAATCATTTTTACTTGAAGTCTGTATTTCAGCACAGGAGCTGGGAAGGAATAAAGGATCATCAGCAGCCTTCTACATCAAGCAAGAAAATGGCTTCAGTTCTAAATAGCTTGGTAGTAGCCAGAGGACCACAGAGGCTTCTTGATCTAACCCAGGATTCTCATCCTCAAATACCAAGAGTAACATGCAAAAGAACAGGGATGTGTTCTTACACAAGCAATTAACTCAGAGTGCAGAGGAGGAGCACGTCAGCAGCAACCTGTACCTCACATAGCAGACAAGGCAAGTCATGAATCCTACAAGCTGAACACAGCCCAAAAACAGAGAGGTAAGCATCACTTACAGGCAGCCATCGGGGAGTTTAGAAGCGAGCCACTTGACTGTTGAACAGGCCTACAAGAGAGTCTGATTCTTAAGAGTTTTATCATCAAGCCTGTGCTGTTCCTTTTTTCGTCATTTAAGTATCAGGTGGACACTTTTCACTCCTATGTTATTTTACAATTGTGGCTTTCTAAGCATCCAATAAAACTTAACTGATATCCCTTTAAAACTGGAGGAGAAAAAGGATTTCTATACAGTTTTTTATATTAGCTGGATGGATTTCAAGTGGCTAATTAATGCTACTGATTAAGCTTTATATTTATTATGCAAAATCTATACTCTTATCAAAGAGATGTTTTAAATTACATACTCATTCACTTGGCACCTTTGAGGTCAGGTGCTATTCTGAACCCTTTCACCTTTGCTTCTAAGAAGACTGTACACATCAACTTCTACGAAAATTTTAGTATTAACAGTGTAAGACCATTTGCATATAAAAATTGAACTTCCTGTACTGCAGCACTCATTACTCCAAACGCAACTGGTGGCTTGCGGTAGCTAGCTATTTATTTGCTTTCAGTAACTAGATATTTTATTTTGTAGCTTATATGAGAGAATACTGTTAACAAGTTTTAATGCTATCTAAAGGTAGTTAATTTTAAAAGTCAAAAATAGGCAGCTATTTTAACCAAAATAACACTGTTTTCCTCCTTTGGTCCTTCTGAATTTGTAGTCATCAATTTAAGGCATCTAATCACATAATTCTTCCTTACCAAGCACAAGTGATATTGAACAGACCAAGCCTTTAATTTTAAATAGACATTAAAAAAAAAAACACACACATACATAAAACACTGAGTACCTAACACTTCGTTTTCTGTAGATACTTACAGTTACAGACTGTGAATAATTTTACTTCCCATATCTTGATTTTGCATTAAAAGAATAAAGACTTTTTCCTTTCTGTTTTACTCTATTTGCTTATCCTCTGTAATCAATGTTTACAACAGATCTCCTCTCTCAGAGAAATCCACCATCATTCTGCCCTAAAAACAAGCTGATATTTCATAAAATCAACGCCTTTCACTTTTGTATCACTCATCTAATCAGTTTGCTCACTTATGAGATCCATTTCAGTTGTCTTCACTGGCTCACTGGCAGGAAGAATGTCTGGAGACCTCCTGGATCCTCTTTGCTGTTTTAGAACAAACTATTGAAGGCGGAAATGCAAAGGGACACACTTAACAGCCATGCAGCTCAGACAAAGGCATTCTCCATTCAACAACTCTCTGAAGTTGGCCATATTTAGACGTTGCTGGGTACAAAGCTTATTTCCTGTACTATACCTTTCCTATTAAAGAAAGGCAATTCGTTCTTCATTCTTTCTGTGCATGACACCTGAACTGACTGCAAAATAGCTAGCTGTAAACTAGCCTGCTTCATCTTCCACTCTTCCTCAGCAATGGACAGTATTTCTCATACCAATGTGGTGTTTTCACACTGGTGTTGTGCGGCCCTCCAGACATAATGCAAGAAATCTTTTTTATGAAGTAAAAAAGAAGATGTTTTTGCAGGGAAAAAAAAATGCACATGTACCATGGCACATCCCTACACCCTCTCTTGGCTATACTATTTCAAAGTTGTACACTTTACTAGGTGTTTTTGCCTCATCATCATTTCGTGCTTCAACAAAACATTTTCCATTAAAAACTCTCAGAAGAAGAGGAAACACTCCACTTCTGTGAATGACAGAGAAGCTACATGCTTCTCTGCAGAAATACGCACCCATTCCTAAACCTGTAAACTGCAGTCTGGCAAGAGCCCAGAGACAACTACCAGGAGGAAGTTTGCTTGTATAAATTTAATTCTCCGTCTCCATTGAGCAATATAGCTGGAATAGGGGAGAAGGAAGCCTGAATGTGTCGTACTATTTAAATAAGTTGGGCAGAAGTTCTCTCCATACTTCCTCCCTCAAATACCACCATGCATATTTATAACTTTATATAAAATATTTTTTTTTATTTGCTAGCTGTTGAACTGAGAAATACTATTCAAAAATTGCTTACTCAGTGCAAAAATCGGCTTCCTAATTCCTAGTCTTTGCACAGAACTAAACAAATTTGCTTCGACATAGTCAGAATGAATGCAGTTATCCCTTATGCACTTTTGGCCACATCTCAACCAGGAAGCTTATCACACAAGCCAACTCTCTGATAACCTAATCTTGTTATAGACAGGCTCCACTAATAGCACCCCATTTTTAAGTTACAAACTAACTACTGTCCCTCACAAAGCCTCAAACTAAAATAACAGTCAAACTAGTCTAAATTTTTTTAACGTTCAATATCCACAATGTTTAGAATTGTTTCACCTAATAATCAAGGTAGGTGATGCACCTCTTATGCATTACAGAGGACAGGCACCAAGCTGACAGAAAGACAGATCGCCCGGACAGATCGGTCAGATAAAACAAGTCTTGCACCAACCTCATCATCCTTCATAACTCAACCATCTGAGATCGGCGTGAGCAGGCGCCTCATGCCAAAACTTGCCAAAAGAACTAGGAAGGATGAGGCCAACATTTACTGCTACAAGAACAAATGAATCAGCAAGTCAAGAGAGCTCACAGAGTACATATGCAGACCAAAGGTTACATAAAGCACCTTGGCACATGCCCAAAAACTGAGAATAAAGCCAACAAAATCCTAAAGGGATGGGCTAGGGATAGGGCTTGTCTCTAGCCAAATTTTTACTTATTTATTCAGATGGAAGTCCTCATGGAAAGCCAGTGGAATAAGATTTTCCTTAACTTACTTTAATGAAATTCAAAAATTGCATCCTTAAATGAAATGTACTTAAGAGACCAAATATATTACTCCATTAATACATTATAATATACACACTAATACATAACCTTCATTCTGGATCTTGTCATTTAGTGGTGTGCTCTGGATTTAGCTCCATGACAAGTTAGGGCATCTTTTCCAGAAAACCCTCCATTTCAGAACTTTGAGAAGAGTTTGGAGAACACAAACTCAATTGGCAGTAAGAAACTTTTAGCCAAGAGGACAAGAAATATAACAAGCACCAGTTATGTCCCTTGCAATACTACAATAAATACTTCATCACATTGTGTTGTACAATTCAACTCTTCAATATGTTTGCAGTCACAAATCTATTGCAAAGACATTATTAGCTTCCCTTTCCTGGTCTTCTTAGCCCGCAGGCACTTCTTTCCCTCCCCACACACAAAAAACTTTGTTCATCAAGTCTGTCCCATGAGCCAACAATTAGGAATGAAGGCCTACACATAAAATAAGAGCAAACTACTACAAAGCAACTAAAAATATATTATAGATTAACCATTCCATCTGAATTACCTTAAACAGATTTGAAAAGCAGATTTACAATGCAGCTAAGATTATAGAAGAAGAATCCAATTCAAAACAGAATTATTATTACAGATGTTTGAACATTATCAGTCTACCCTGTTATGCACATTAGGGAAAGTTGCTGACAATACGAATAGCGTTAACAGCAACAAAAAGGAGCACACCTAAATCAAAGCTGTGCACTTGCGCTTGAACTCCCTTTTCTAATTCCCTTGTATGTTAACTTACTGGCAAATATAGAAATCACAGCTTATTAAAAGTCTCGGCCTATTCACAAATCACAAAACTGCATCTCTCCTGTGACTGTTTCACAGTACCACTCGCTCTTGAGAGAACAGTGAAAGAAATCTCCGAAATGTAATAAAGAAAAATGACACTTCATTGCTTCTATAGATTCTTGATTACAGAGAAACGGATAAGCAGAATTACTCGTACAGAATATTTTCCAGTATTTTTACTAACATAGGTAAAATTTTCTTCTCAAAACGACAAAATCTCAAAAAGACCCACCCTATCACTAGTCAACATTATGTATATGTAACAAGTACACCAAAACAAAAAAGTAACTTGTGCTTGTAAGTGGGGGAAAAGAGCATTCATATTAATGTTTCTCTGAATACAACAATAGCATTTAAGTTAGCTTATCCAAGGCAGAAATATTTGTTTGAAATGATTTTCAGTTTGTTTTTGCCTTTGTTTTTTGGGGGCTGGGGGCACACAGAGCAACCCGAATATATTGTCCTAAACATATCAAGAATCTTTCCAAGTAAACAAGGCAGAAAATTGTGTAAGGAACAATGGCAGACAGATTGCCTATCCAGAAGAACATGAACGTGTTGAAGCCACAGATACATAGAATACATTCTGTGATCCACCTGTAGAGCTTGCCCCTGAGTAAGTGCATATTTGGATACAATATAAATGGCAAACCACTGTGACATTCCTTGGCACATTCTGCCAGCATGCAGATACAATCAGCAGTTCTTCCACACCTGTCCTACAAGCTTCTTGATTTTTTTTTATTGCTAAGTATTAAAGTTCTTACTTATATGTTCTTGCACATAAAGGTAAGAATATTACCTACTAGCACACCGAAGAGTAACTAGGAAAACAACAAACATCAACAACAATAAATGTACTCAAGACATATCCCTCCCCTTATCTCCTCCAACACATGTGGATAGTCACCTACCCGAATCACTGCTCTTCTTCCAATTCACATCATAGGAGTTTGAATCAGTTTCTGAACTTGAACCACAGAATCACCAGGATGCAGAATGGAGTTATTTAAACCATCCACATGGAACTGAAAAGTAATTACAAAAAAGTTTTCAAAATGATGGCTATCAGGGGTCCGTAATTTAAGACATTTTCAGAGTCACATATGAACCTTGTATAATATCAAAATTGAATACAGACGCAACAAGTTGTACTATATAACTTACCACCACAAGAAACAAAATTTCTATAATTACTCATTTTTGCCCTTCACAAATCTCAAAGCAATAAAAACAATATGCCAAAACACCGAAAAGGTATAGTATCATTTGCTCCTTCTGTACCAGCCAAACACAAATCATAAGGATTGCTAATAACTTTTAACCAAAACAAATCCCATCCACACAAATAAGAGAAAGGGAAATTTAAAGTCCAAGGTTAACAAAATGCAGTAAGATATGCAGGGCCTAAACTAGGTAACTTCTCAAAGCACTGCTACTCCAGTGAATAGCAGAATCTATAGTCTGAAAGATAACATATACCACCCACACCATGTCACAAACACTCCCACAGCCCTCATGGGGAAATACAACTCCTAGCAACAGATGAGGTTTTTAAAAAGCTGCAATTATTTTAATTGGACCTGCCAGCTGCCTTTCATTTAACTTAACATGAGATTGTATTGGGAGTCTGAAGCCACAGCCATTGGCAAGAGCCAAGATAGTTGCTTACAAGTAGTTGGACCTATTTCTGAGAAACTAATTCTGCCTGGAGAGTTTTTGTGGAGTATTGCCATATGCTCTATATGTTGAGAACACAAAAGTTTTATTATGTTGTCCTGGCTAGCATGCTGGAATAATACAGTAAGTCCAAGATGTACATAGAACACACCCATAGCCTCATCTTGATGACATGTGTTGGGGCCAGTTCAAATAAGGTGACAAAACATAAGCAAAAGAGAGCATGATGAATTACGGAAGGATGGTTTTGTCATCTGCTTTCAAAACAGCAAACATCCCACACTGAGAAGAAAAAAAAAAAAAAAAAGGAAGAATTATGTATAATATACATCTAGGCCAGCTGCTAGCCAAACTCTTTTTTGAAAATAACATGAAGGTTCTTCAGGATAACAGATTCTGTCTAACGTGCTTTTTTCACATGGCATTCTATATGCGGGTGCAAAACAGGGAAACTTTAGGGATTATTAGAATAAGAGAAATAGAAGGATGGTTAAAGTAACCGCTTTTGCCAATTCCAGAACACTTGGCAACTTAGCAAGCCCTAGATTCCTCATACTAACGTAACTGTTTAACAGTTGCTTCGCATCTCAGCTACCACAACCAGAAACGCTCCTGCACCAGCTGGTGAGGCTGCTGTGGCTGGGCGAGAGCCTCTGAGCAATGCCAAGGTCCGTGACTGAACTGCAGCTCCATGGCTTGCTGAGGACAAGCAGCGTGGGCTGCTGCTCCCCATGGCAGTTGCCTCTGGAACTTTCCTTCTGAAATTTTCCTACTGCTCTGCTACCTACAGCCAAAAATTTTGTATGACTAGAAATGTAAACTCGAGTTAGGTACTTAGGTTTGTATCTGGCTAGCAACTACATTCGTATATGCTACATTTAGGAACTGCTGCTCTATTATGTAAAGATAGAAGCAGCTTTTTTGGCCCAAAACTGACAAGAATAAAAGGCTTTTTTTTTTTTTTCTCTCCTCTGTATAGCTGTCTTCCACAGAAGGTTAAATCTCCACTTGGGTTTGAGATCCAAGTGGCACCCTTACAGGCAGAGGGTGGACTGTGCTGGACGTCCAACTCCTCTGGAGCACATGTCCCAGCTCGGGGCTGCCCCAGCAGGTCTCCATCCATGGTAGCCTCCCTTAGTGCTGCAGTCATCAACCCCCTCATTACACCCGCTGGTGACACAAAAACGGGCACTGGAGAACTGTATGAACAAGAACAATTGCACAGATTGTTACTTGAAAGACTATCACTTAGGCATTAGCTAAATATATGTATCCAGAAAGAAAGACAAACACAGTTTTACAAAAAAAAAGTTCAGAAAAATAATCCGAAAAGTTCATCAAGAACTTTTAAAAAAAAAAAAAAACAATTTTATACATTTTTGTGTTTCTGTCTAGAGTGTCAACACCAACCAGTGCCACCTCCTCTCTTTGGCACAGGCCTGGCTCTTTGGGGAAAAAGGGAGAGACAGGAGAAGGATCAGACCTGCAGCTCTTGGGGAGGAAAACAGCCCAGCAGAACTGCTATCACCCACACGACTGTGCTCTGGAGTCACGGGGCACCTTCCAACCAGGGCTGTAATGTTCCCAGAAGACTTTCGAGTTATGAGGATGCAGGACCCTTTATTCACCCAACGCCAGGTCCCCAAACTATGTTACCCCTTCCGTACTCCAGTGAATTTGCAGGAATATACACTGTTCAATTGCCAGTATTTTCATACCCCTTCTTGTAGGCCAAACTATCTTCAGCTCTGTAGAAGACAGGCTGTCTTCTGTAATATTTCCTTGAATAGGAAATACTAGAAGTTTTTTGTTGTTGTTGTTTAATAAGATTAACTCTTATCAACTCATACTTACAGACCTTGTAAAGATGTAAAGAGTACAAACTTTACAGCTGAAGCAAAGGACCTGCACAGGAATAATGGAAAGTGCAACTTAGTGCTTACTGTTGGAGGAGACAGAGTAGTTAAGACTAAGTTTTTAGTCACAAGTTTTCTAAAATTCCTTCAAAGCAAATATTTTAATTATTTATAAATATTTTTCTATTAGCTTGAAAGAGATGGAAATGTCATTTGCAAAAATAATTTAGTGCTCACAGCAGCATAGTCACATAGTAAAATATGATGGCTTAGTACAACTTTAGAAGACAACACAGTTTTAAAGTTTGTAAAATTTGATTTCTTATAATCTAATGATTTAGTCAGCCTAGATTCACAGAAGTTTTGAAAGACAAGGAGAAAAAATTTGAAACAACTAATTTTTAAGGACATTTTCTAACCACAGTAAATACCTCAGTGCTACATATACTTTAGGCAGAGAGAAAAAGCTACAACCAATCAGTAAACGGTTTTGGTCCAGGCAGTGGTATGTCAACAGTTCATGTATTACATTCTGATTTCAGAACTGAAAGAAGTGTTTACAGGATGTGGTCTTCTAAACTGGAAGACATTCTTGCTTATAAAGTGCTATGCGTATTTTGGCAATAAAAAGGCAGTTACTTGCCTACAAAGCAGTGCTATACATTTAGAGAAGACTTGAAGGAATGGAACTACACTCTTCAAAACAGATTGTCACCCTCAATACAGCAATTTACCTATCTATTTACAGTTAAGTTCATTTTACAACCCCAAAAAAGTCTGGGGGAAAAAACAAAAAAAGACTAATACATGAAGCTATCTTGTCAAGAAGTATTCTTGATAAAGAATTTTAGCTGTTTAGTTGGAGGAGAGGTAGCTGTAATATTAAAGTTAGACTTTGTATTCCCCACTTCCCCCGCCCCCCTCCCAAAAAAAAAAAACCAACAAAAAAAAAAACTATAATTTAAATCTCCTTTTAAACACTGAAAAGAAAGAAGGAACAAAAAGAGAAAAAAAAAGAAGACCTGAAATACACAGAAGAGTCACTGCTGAGTCCAACATATCTTCTACAGATCCTCACAAAACTATTCCAAAAAGGCTGAGACCCAGCAAACCAAAAGACATCTCAAGCAAGGAAGACAGGTGAACTGTAGGAAAAAAAAGGCAAAGGCCCACGCAGCTAATGAGAACCCAGACACAAGCAACTGCAGGAGCTCTTTTGGACTGTATGCGTCATCTGTCAGGAGGCAAGTACATCCTCGGTTGACTGCATCATTAACATGGAACATTCAAAAATTTCAGGAAGCAGGAAGGGCAGAGTTTAAAACAAAAAAAACACTAGTATCTCCCCTTTCAATGCAGGAGACAAGATCCCATGGCAAACTTCCACAGTTTCAAATCTCATGGTATCATTCCCTCTCTTCCTTACCAAAAGAGAAGTACAGAAATGCTGGTAGCTAAGGTCTCTGCCATGGCTATTCTTCCAATGAGGTTACTTATTATTCAATCAGCACTTAACATTTGGATTTAGAGAAATCCCTATCTTCCTCAGCTAAAAACAAACAAAAAGCAAACAACAACGAAAACAGCTCTCGCTTCCTCCTTTTTCAGGACTCTATCACTTCTTACAGAAGACAAAACAGCACTAGCGACCTTATGTAAGGTAATTCACTGAAGCTAACATATAATTGTAGGCCTCATCACTGTGATGAAAGAGGAAAAAACAAGCAAGAGGCAAAATACCCAGAAGTGACAAACAAAATTGCTTTAAATTCCTTCATTCCTTCAGACATTGTTTTGAACAAAATCATGAAATCAAAAGTTTCAAATTATTTCAGATTAAAGGAAAACTTCGTGCAAAAAAAAGTGATGGCATTATATTCTAAAGAGACAATCTTTATTTCCTTGCCAATGCAGTTTTAAATAACTGCGTTCCAAGTAAGAGGAATCAAACTCACTATCGCTTTATTGGCAAGGAAGGAAGTTAAATGCAACAAAACACCCTCTGCCCTGGGCTTGGTGCCTTATCATAACAAAAACCTGCAATATTTGGAGCTATTATTCATACATATTTCCACTTCCTGCATTGAGAACTTGTCAGAACTGCAGACTTTAGGCTGAATCAATATCCTTCATTGTTCATTCCTATTCTTACCTTGTTTTTCTACCTGTAGTGTCAAGAAATAATTTACATATCTTCTAGCAATAAGATACAATTAAAAAAGTATGCTGCAGATGCCAGATACCAAGGAAGAAAAAAGAAATACTAAAAATAATATTCCTATCCCTATACTGCATCTCCTTTTGATAATTTATGAATATTTCAATCTCATATTGCATTCTTAATAAAGAGAAAAAATAGCATATGAGGAAATGAAGAATAGTAAAGGAAAAATGCTGAAAATGTAAAACAGCAACTGACATTAGATGCTATCCTCTGTACTTAACACAGGAAGTCCTTACTTTTATATTTTTTAATCCCACAATTCAG